CTATTGAGCAACTAATAGAAATTTCATTATTAGAAATTCCCAAATAATTTGAAATCCTTTAATTTTTTTTTCTATGAATGGGTCTGTCTCGAATAGACACTGATTTTAACGGAGAACAACCTAACATCCTGAAAGTTTTATTTGTAATTTCAGAACTAGTCGGTTCTGAAGTTCAATATATGATGTATTGTTTTTATCATTGATTCAATATTTATGTTTTTAATAGTTTTATTATTCTTACAACAAGTTCTACAGAGTTTTTGAACCGGGCATAACTTCATTCTTAAAGTAGTTTCTTCATTGATTGACTGAAGAGATTCTAAAAAAAAAAACAAAAAAAAAAAAACAATATATACAATTATTACAATTCTTATCAAAAATATAAAACTTTGTATAAACATAAAACTTGTTAAACACGTCCATTACATTTTTTATTTTCATTAACATAAAGCAATGAAAAAATAAAATAACTAAATAATTTTTAACTTTAAAAATTACCCTGCATACTCTCCCTATTATTTTTTTTTACTATTATTATTATTATCATTATTATTTATTAATAAATATTTAATTATTATTTATTAATAAAAAAAAGTTATTAATAAAGATAATGTATTTACGTGTACAAAAAATTTGCAAGTGATAAGATCACAAAAATTTTAGGAAATCCTTTTTCAATAAAAAAGATTTCTTAAAATTTTTGTTATCTGTAATTATACTTTATAAAGATTATACAAAAAATTTTTATATATAATCTTTTTTACAAATATAATTAGAATTTAATTCCACTTACTAGTAAGGATTAAATGTAAAAATGATTTCCTATATGTTTCTATAAAAGCAATCATTTAGGAACTCATAATAATAACAGTAAGACTTAAGATATGACAACTCACATGACTTAAGATATTTTAGTAAATTCTATGTACAGAGTATATATACTATAAGAAAGCAGATTTAACTAAAATTTACTTAGTCACTCAGTAAATTGTTGTTATCATAAGTACTGTTATATATACTTTGTATATATACTAAGTGTATATAAGTAGAATTAAAATAAATATAATTAGGATTATATATAAAAAGACTTTCCTAAATACTTCTATCAAAGCAAATATTTAAGGACTTATAAAACAATAATTCTAAAAATAAGAACTATATATTGATATAAGAATGGTACCCAGCATGAAACTTTTAAACGGATCAAACAGTATTTTGATAATAAGAATCTTATTTTCAACATACTGTTTGATCAATTTATAATTTTCAAATACATTAGACTAATGTTAATTAAAATTTACTTAGTTACTAAATAAATGAAAAATTATGTATGTATTTCAATTTCTAATGATAATCATTTGTAATTTAAATAATTTACATACATAATTTTCATTTACTTAGAATAAGTTACTTAAACTAATAAAAGTCTTATAGTTAAATAAATTCTAAAATAAACTAGGCAAAATCTGAATTTTGCAGAAACTTTTTGTTAAAACATAAAGAAAAAACAAACTGAACTGTTACAGTGCAATATCTACTGTTATTGCACTTCGCAACTGTTAACACCTTAACACCAGTTGTTACATCTATACCTTATTATTATTTATTATAGACTTAGTTACTAAGTCTTTGTAACTAAGTAATTAAAAAAAGGATTTACTAATTCAATAAGGAAATCTTTTTTATATATAATCTTAATTATACTTATTTTAATTCTATTCTGCTGCTATTATTAGTTACTAAATATTTTCTTTGATAGAAACAATTGTTTCTAATAAAACAAATATTTGTATATAACAACACACCTAAGAATAAGAAATAAGATAAAAGTAATTTTAACTACATATAAAATGTACTACCTTTATTTTTCTTTAATTGAAAATGTCCGCTATCTTTTTATACATTGTTATTACTTTAAAATTTAACTTTACTTAAAGCGGACTACTTACTCCGATATAGGACAATCTACTTCGGAGTAAAATGTCCTATCGGACAGTTTACTCCGGCGGACCATTTACTCCGTGACAGAGCTCAGGTTTTTGCTCACGCCGTCAGGTGGCCGATAACAACTGCTTAATAAAATGTTTTTAGTTTGATTGTTTGTAATTTCAATAGTTACAATTTCTTTATCACAGTCAGAAACGTTCAAATCATTCCTAAAACAATACACAAAATTTTCGTGGACATAAATTAATACTTCACCGCCGCGCTTATTTGTTTTTCTCTCCATTGAAAATGTATTAAAATGAGGAATATCAAAATTACTACTTATTTGAGTTTTATTTGTTTACTACTACTACAAAATTACAACTTATTTGAGAATTATTAATTACTACTTATTTACTAACTATTTGAGATAATAGTTCGAGTTAAGACGACTCAAACTTTTATAATCTCAGTCTGCTTTTTTTCAAAAACACAAAACGTGAATTAGATTTATATGAAAAAGTGCCAACCGTGATGAAATACCTCAAACTAATGAAGTTCTTGAAAAATTATAAGAAATTTTATCATTTAGAAATGGTGTTCTTATTAAATTATTATTGGACATATTAAATTGTATAATTTTATTTTTATCATAATTATGTGGGAGAAAATTCAACAAAAATATGTTTTGGAAATAACCAGTTATGCGGTAGTGGTGTAGTGGTAGAGCGCTCGCTTCATAAACGAGTGGTTCCGAGTTCGATCCCCACCACGTCCCTGGTAGTACCGCGCTCAACTCGTTTCTCCGCGCAGCGGCTTTGTTCGTCAAGGTTCGTGTTTCGGAGTTATAGAGTTTTGAGAGAGGGTTATAGCAACAAATAAGTAGCCTCCTCGTCTGTAGGCCTTCTCGGCCTTGAGGAGGTGAATTAAATTAAAAAAAAAAAAAAAAAAAAAAAAGTTAAATTGCAAGATTATTATATATATCCAGGCGCGGATCCAGCATTTTTTGATGTTTGAGATAACTAACTTCCAGATATGGAACAAACTCCAAAAATTTATATGTTTATACTTATGTCAAATAAAGATGATTTGCAAAAAATTGCGACGATTGGAGTCTGGGAACAAAAAAGCCCCAAAATTTTGGCCACACAAACCCCAAACAAGAGAGCAACAAGTTGATAAAATATTTTTTGTATAATTCTTAAGTAAATTTATATTCATCAATAAATTCTAAATTTCATACAATAATCTCTTAGTGTTCAAAAAACATGACCTTACAAAATTTGTAACCCCCTCAAATTGAGGGGGGTTAAAGCTTTGTGCACTTATAATTTTTGAACACTAAGAGATTATTGTATGAAATTTAGAATTTATCGATGAATATAAATTTACTTGAGAATTGTACAAAAAATATTTTATCAACTTGTTGCTCTCTTGTTTGGGGTTTGTGTGGCCAAAATTTTGGGGCTTTTTTGTTCCCAGACTCCAATCATCGCAATTCTTTGCAAATCATCTTTATTTGACATAAGTATAAACATATAAATTTTTGGGGTTTGTACCATGTCTGGAAGTAAGTTATCTCAAACATCAAAAAATGCTGGATCCGCGCCTGATATCTTATTATATATATCAAGATTATTATATATATCTTCTGAATAAATAAATAAAATTAATTAATACCCTTTTAAACATATTTTAGAAATAATTAGTATGATTATATCATGTTAGAACGCAAACACTTTCATATACAAAAAAAAAAAAAAAAAAAAAAAAAAAAAAAACTTCTTCAAAAAATATTGGAATGATTTTCATGCTTAGAACTAAACTAGAACTGTCACCAAAAATATTGAATTGAATTTTTTTTTACATTTGCAAAAAAGGTATAAAGTACCATATTTTTTATTTCCATAAAAGTATAAAGTAGCAATTTCTAACTGCTTCTTTATTTATTTAACACTTATCTAAAACATTATTATATAATAACCAACGAGCACAGACGTCCGCGGGATGTCTATACGATGTCTTGTGGACGTCACATGTACGTAGGACGTCCATAAGACGTCCCAGTGGACACGGGACATAAAAAAGACGTCTATTGAACGTCTTTTAAACGTATCGGACGTCTTTTGAAACGTTTTGGACATCTTTTGAACGTTCAAAAGACGTCTTTTTTTGGTCCGTTTGTCGAATATTTCTTTTTTAAATAATGTCGTATTGCAAAATAAAATACGGTTATAAAACGTTAAAAAGACGTCTTTTTTTGGTCCGTTTGTCGAATATTTCTTTTTTAAATAATGTCGTATTGCAAAATAAAATACGGTTATGTGTGTATGAATGTATGTATGTATGTATGTATGTATGTATGTATGTATGTATGTATGTATGTATGTATGTATGTATGTATGTATGTATGTATGTATGTATGTATGTATGTATGTATGTATGTATGTATGTATGTATGTATGTATGTATGTATGTATGTATGTATGTATGTATGTATGTAAGTATGTATGTATGTATGTATGTATGTATGTATGTATGCAGGGCCGGCGCGAGTAGGTGTCACATGGGGGGGGGGTGCCATTACAACTTTTGCCGACTAATAAAAAAAAAAAAAAAAAAGGTCCTCGTTTTCAAAAATTTGCCGACTGTCATGACGACATTTGCCAACTGTCTAACCTATATCGAAAGTGTTGACATTTGCCAACTAACTAGGTCCAATTTGCCGACTAAGGGTCCAGTTTGCCGACTAAAAATCATTGATGAAGGAAGGGGGGGGTGGCACCCCCCACACACACCCCCATCGCGCCGGCCTTGTATGTATGTATGTATGTATGTATGTATCTATGTATTTATGTAAGTGCGTGTTTGTAAATTATATTTATTTTACAGGGAAAATTAAACTCAGTTAAAAAAAAAGTTTATTTATCAATATTATTTTGTTTTTTACGATAGTAAAAAATATATTTTAAATCAATTCAAACAAAAAATGAATTTCTCTATCTTTTACTATAAATGATGTTTTGTTCTATTGAAAAATAAATTGTTAAAACAATTAACTACAAAAAACTTACATATTTTCATCAACCATTTTTTTAACTTATTGCAATGGTGAAATAACTTAATGCAACGCGCATCAACTGAACTGCATAAAATGTGATACTACGGTAGGTTTTCAGCTTTTTATGGGGCTCCTTTTTGCCTTATTTGTACCCATTCTTTGTTATAATAATTATTGGGCTAAACAAGTCCTTAGAAAAAGGTAAAATATTGTTAGTTTAGAAAGGTATTTGTGTCTATAATTACTCTTTTTATAGTATTCATAAAAGAAATTATCAATCGGTGCCTTTAATAAAATAACCTCTTCTCAAAGAGGAAATTTTTGAAAAAAGGTGATTTTATTTATCTGAAATTTGGATTACTTCTTGCTGTTTAATAAAACTTTACGTCAATGGATTAAATATTTCGTAACTTTATTTTATAAATGTTGTTTTATAAGGATAAGTTTATAAAAATATCTATAATAATTACATTTTATCGTTTAGAAGTAAGCATACTTTAAGTAAGCATACTTTGCAGGAAAATTTCTTATTTTCAAAAGCACTTTAAAATCATGTCATAAAAGGGTATAAATTTTAAAAGACAGGAAAAGAAACTAATAAGTTGAAATTAGGTAAAACGATTTTGTTCTAAAAACCAGGTACACGAAAAGTATTGCAAAACTGATTGAACTTTGTTTGACAAAAAAGCTCGCATAATAAATTATTATTTTTGTAGTGAATACTTATTTTTTGTATTTAAAGTAAAAAAAAAAAATTTCATTAAGTTATAATAAAACAATTTTATATTTAAACATAAAACATAAATTTTTATATAAATTCATTTCAGTGCTTCAACATCTTTAGTATCCGAAAAACGATTTTCAAAAAAAATTTAACGTATTGCGTGATAAAGAGCATGCAACTTGATTTTGCTTCTACTTCCAGCCATAATTTGATTTTGCTTCTACTTCCAGCCATAACTTGATTTTGCTTCTACTTCCAGCCATAATTTGATTTTGCTTCTACTTCCAGCCATAACTTGATTTTGCTTCTACTTCCAGCCATAACTTGATTTTGCTTCTACTTCCAGCCATAATTTGATTTTGCTTCTACTTCCAGCCATAACTTGATTTTACTTCTACTTCCAGCCATAACTTGATTTTGCTTCTACTTCCAGCCATAACTTGATTTTACTTCTACTTCCAGCCATAACTTGATTTTGCTTCTACTTCCAGCCATAACTTGATTTTGCTTCTACTTCCAGCCATAACTTGATTTTGCTTCTACTTCCAGCCATAACTTGATTTTGCTTCTACTTCCAGCCATAACTTGATTTTGCTTCTACTTCTAGCCATAACTTGATTTTGCTTCTACTTCCAGCCATAACTTGATTTTGCTTCTACTTCCAGCCATAACTTGATTTTGCTTCTACTTCCAGCCATAACTTGATTTTGCTTCTACTTCCAGCCATAACTTGATTTTGCTTCTACTTCCAGCCATAACTTGATTTTACTTCTACTTCCAGCCATAACTTGATTTTGCTTCTACTTCCAGCCATAACTTGATTTTGCTTCTACTTCCAGCCATAACTTGATTTTGCTTCTACTTCCAGCCATAACTTGATTTTGCTTCTACTTCCAGCCATAACTTGATTTTGCTTCTACTTCCAGCCATAACTTGATTTTGCTTCTACTTCCAGCCATAACTTGATTTTACTTCTACTTCCAGCCATAACTTGATTTTGCTTCTACTTCCAGCCATAACTTGATTTTGCTTCTACTTCCAGCCATAACTTGATTTTGCTTCTACTTCCAGCCATAACTTGATTTTGCTTCTACTTCCAGCCATAACTTGATTTTGCTTCTACTTCCAGCCATAACTTGATTTTGCTTCTACTTCCAGCCATAACTTGATTTTACTTCTACTTCCAGCCATAACTTGATTTTGCTTCTACTTCCAGCCATAACTTGATTTTACTTCTACTTCCAGCCATAACTTGATTTTGCTTCTACTTCCAGCCATAACTTGATTTTGCTTCTACTTCCAGCCATAACTTGATTTTGCTTCTACTTCCAGCCATAACTTGATTTTGCTTCTACTTCCAGCCATAACTTGATTTTGCTTCTACTTCCAGCCATAACTTGATTTTACTTCTACTTCCAGCCATAACTTGATTTTGCTTCTACTTCCAGCCATAACTTGATTTTGCTTCTACTTCCAGCCATAACTTGATTTTGCTTCTACTTCCAGCCATAACTTGATTTTGCTTCTACTTCCAGCCATAACTTGATTTTGCTTCTACTTCCAGCCATAACTTGATTTTGCTTCTACTTCCAGCCATAACTTGATTTTGCTTCTACTTCCAGCCATAACTTGATTTTGCTTCTACTTCCAGCCATAACTTGATTTTGCTTCTACTTCCAGCCATAACTTGATTTTGCTTCTACTTCCAGCCATAACTTGATTTTGCTTCTACTTCCAGCCATAACTTGATTTTGCTTCTACTTCCAGCCATAACTTGATTTTGCTTCTACTTCCAGCCATAACTTGATTTTGCTTCTACTTCCAGCCATAACTTGATTTTGCTTCTACTTCCAGCCATAACTTGATTTTGCTTCTACTTCCAGCCATAACTTGATTTTACTTCTACTTCCAGCCATAACTTGATTTTGCTTCTACTTCCAGCCATAACTTGATTTTACTTCTACTTCCAGCCATAACTTGATTTTGCTTCTACTTCCAGCCATAATTTGATTTTGCTTCTACTTCTAGCCATAACTTGATTTTGCTTCTACTTCCAGCCATAACTTGATTTTGCTTCTACTTCCAGCCATAACTTGATTTTGCTTCTACTTCCAGCCATAACTTGATTTTACTTCTACTTCCAGCCATAACTTGATTTTGCTTCTACTTCCAGCCATAACTTGAGTAATAACAACAAGTAATAAAGTTGGATTAGAATACTTTTGCTCAAAGAGTTGCTTCAATTAAATAGGATTTCTATTTTTAAAGAGACCTTTGAGCAAATCAATATGCGGTTTCTCTGTTATATCTTATTTTAGATAATTCTCAAGAATTTTTGTAAAAGATTCCTTTTTTATTTCAAATTGACCAGCTTTTGCATTCGTGATCTTTTTGCACGGATCTGGTGGGTTTTTTTATTTAATCTGGTATTTAATCTAACGTTTTTTTGCTTTCCAAGAGGCAGTAACATAACCATCATATAAGCTTAAATTGTTTAACCCTTCGACTGCTTGATAAAATTAAAAAGTGTTTAGAAAAATTTAAATAAAAAAACTGAAAATATAAACAAGATCGTGGCTCGCCGCACTTCAACGGAAAAGCCACGATCGTGACTTGCCGTAGTCAAAGGGTTAAACATAGTCCACAGTGAAGCATAAATTGGTGTAGGTATACATGGTATAGCTATCCCTATGATATTTACTTTTTACCTCGATGCTCACCTTTCTAAACCTATGCGAAGATTTTTTTTTTAAATGTTAATAATTTTTATATATCTTTTCATTTGCAGAAGATTTTGTTTTTAAATACTTTTATGTAGAACTTCTGCTTTATTTTCGAAGATTTTTTAACAGCCTTAGTAATCCAAGGACTATAAAAGGTTTTGTGTTTTTTGTTAAAATAACAACAACAATATCTTACATATTTTTATCATCCATTTTATTAATTTATAATTATCATTTTTTCTAGAAATTTCCCGTCATATACTGAAAAAAATGTATAGAAGAATTTATTATAAATGTTATTTGCATTATCATTTGATATGCCCCTAATGAAGTAATCATAATTGATATTTAAATTCTTTCATTTTTTTTCGTTTTTAATACGTTTGCTTACGTTTCGTTTCATTTCCGGCATCATGCATAAAATTTAACACCTTCTAAATAAAACTTGCTTAAAAGATATATATTATTCGTTCATTCACAGTTATATCAACCATTGCAATATCGTTTGGGCAAGCACATACTCTTCAGTACTAAAAAAAATATATGTTAAACAAAAGCAAGCGTGTCGAATTGTATGCAATTCGACATTGTATGTATGCAATATTGTAATTATTCAGGGACATTGGAGCTCTAAATTTTTATGAACTGAACATTCTCCAAAATGTATTATTTATGTTTCAATCGCAAAACAATTTACTACCAAAACACTTTGAAAATCAATTTTCCACCATTGATCACAAATATCCAACAAAGTAATCTTTTCAAAACTTTAACATTTCGAAAACTTTACTCAAAATAACTAACTTCTCTATCTTATCTCGAGGACCACGGCTATGGAATTCGATCCTTAAAGAAGAAATAAAAAACATGAAGTCACCAAATCTCTTTAAAGCAGCTGTCAAACAGCACCTATTTAACCTAAGTGACGTCAACAAACTCTCCAATTTTTAAGATCAAATTAATAATAACTAAATAAACTTATCCCTTTTAGATGACCACAACAGATGATTATATCACAGTACAAATAGTTTTTCTTTTCTATACTCATCTATCAGATTGTTACGTACAAGGCTTTGTTTTTTACGTGCAAGGCTAAGTATTTGCTTTATTTCTACTTATGAATTTTTAATGTCACGTTAAGTTCACGTGAAGCTTATTGCAAAGTCACAGATGAAAGGGGCTTGATGATAAGACTGCAGTCTTCTACTTGCTCCTGTCATTATTTTATTTTTTTTCTTATTTATAAATGTATACATGAATTAAAGTTAATTGTATGTAAAATATATAGTGACGAAATAAATTATAAAAAAAAAATTAAAAAATAAAAAATAAAAATATAGTTGTAAACAATTCCGAGAAAAACAATAAGTATCAAATACAACAATATAATAATATGAACAATGTTCAATATATATTTATGGTGGTCGCGAGAAAAAGCACTGTTTTGGATTTTTGATGGTGATAAATGTCTTTTTCTTACAGTTGTAAGTGCTTTGCCTCATATTTCTATTTCTAGAAATTTTGAACCTAAAGTTTGTTCAGAAGCATCTTCTTTATTAGATAATTTATATAATTTTAAAATAATTCTCACAGCTCATATATTTTTGAATATCTTTAAAAATATTGGGCCAACGTCACGTTATCTTCAGACAAGAGGTATGGATTTATTATCAGCTTGGAGTATGGTAGATTCTGTTAAACAAGAAATTGGACATTTAACCTTTGAAAATATTTTAGAAAATTCTGTACATTTTTCCAACAATATGAATTACTTACTTAATAGTATGAATCTTCCGGATGATTTATTAGTACCAAGTACTTTACCTATTACTAGGCAAAGCAGAAAAAAAAGAATGTATGATGAGCTATGTGCAGACGAAACACCAGAGTTACCATTAGACAAGTTCAGAGTTGAAACTTATCAATCAATAGTTGATCACATTAATAATAGTTTAAATGAACGCTTCACCGACAACAATCAATTGATAGCGGATGTTCAATACTTGATACCTAAAAGTTTTAAACAAATTGAACAAATGCCAAACACAGCTTTAAAACACTTGGCCAATTTAGCAAATTTAGATCACATACAACTTTGCTTAGAACTAAATAATTTTTCTAAAATGTATCCCAAGTTAAAAATGTCTACAACAGAAAGAACTAAACAAATATACCGTCAATTTGATACTGATTCAGATGAAAACACAGATAATGATGAAGAAAATATGAGTTATGATCCAGCATTTTCTTGTGAGTAAAATTGTGCTTATATATTGTTCTATATATAATTTAAAATATTATTTTGACTGAACTTTATGTTGGATTTTAGGTAACAACAAAAACAGCATACATGATACTAACAATTGTTTACAATGTGTATACAAACTTGTATACAATTTAAACATGTCTCGGCTTATACTCAACTATGTGCTTCATATGAGTTTTTTCTTACTTTGTCAGTCACCGAAGTCAACTGCGAAAGGACATTCAGCAAACTTAAGCTTGTTAAAATAAGACTCAGAGCCAATATAAGTCAAGATAATTTAGAAGCACTCTTAATTATGAGTGTTGAAAAAGAATTACTCAATGAAATTGAAATTTCAAATGTCATTGAATATTTAAAAGCTAGTTCTACAGTAATGACTAAAATGTTTTCAATATAAAATTGTCATTTAAGTTTTGTTTTATATAATTTAAGTATTTTCTTAACTATAATAAATAATAATGCATTAATTTGTATGGATTATGATTCTTCTTCTTCATTCTCTGGCATGACTACTCTCTAAGAGATTTTGCTGACATTACTAAACTTTGCCACCTATCTCTATCTATAAATTATATTATATGAAAAAAATTGTTTTGAGTCTAATTGTTGATTATCATGTTTTTTAATGTTGAAACTAGACCCATAGTATCAGTATGTAACATAACACATACCAGAGTACGTATTTAACCTAATTAAATTAAATTGTACATGCTATTTATAGGTACCTTATAACAATTAATTATATTTATTTATGATTTTTTTTTGGGTGGGGGGGGGGTGTTTATTTTTTGGGGGGCTAATCACCCTTCAGGCCACTTCTATTTGGGCCGGTGACCGTGAGTACGCCTCTGGGGACCACGGTATGTAATTAAGAATTTAGAGAGTATTGTTGTTTCAAACGGTATCATAAAGTTGCTCGTTGCTCTTTTATTGTATTTATTTATATTGTTTTTAAAAAAGTGTGCTGTAAAAGTTTGAAGTTTTAACGTTCTTATACACTAACTTATTTAATAAACAGTTCGAATTATAAATAAAAAAAGGAATTAAATTGCAATGCAATTAAATTAGTTTTCAATCTTTCGTTTTGTTAATTTATTAAAACCTCTCAGTATGTGTTTTGTCAAGGAAGGTAAAATTTTTCAGTTAAAGTACCATGGGGACCCTTCGTTGCTTAGGGCCTCTGGCAGTTTTTATGAAACTATTTTGAAAAGAGCTATCAAAGATGTCTGTTGTAAATTTACTAGTCTCTCTAATAAAACTAATTCAAAATTTAGTACCAATGATGCTATTAACGTATATTTGGCATTCATTTCATAAATACTCCATTATGACTCTCCTTAGAAGAAAAAGATTAAGCGCGATTTTTCATATAAATAAGATTCAAAATATATATTTCAGTTTAGAACATGACGTCAAGAGTCTAGCACGAATTTAAAATTGTTGTTTAAATGTTTTGCTACAAGATTAAGTTGAATAAAAAAAAAAAAAAAAATATATGATTAAAATAATTGGTACAGTTTACTTTAATTAGTGTCTAGGAAGAACTTATAGCTTTTTTTTGAAGAATTTGTTTAACTAAATACTCGTTTTAGTGCATTTCTAGATTCCTGCCAGCCGGCACAAACACGTCTTTTAGACGTCTTTTTAGCATCTAAAATGTTAACACCTTTTAGATGTCTAAATTCAGATAGCTATAAGACATCTAATAGTTTATCTTTGAGACGGCGATTATGAGCTCATATTTGTCGTCTCAAATATGACTACTATTGGATGTCTTATAGTCATCTGAATTTATACGTCTAAAAGGTGTTTAGGGGAGAGTGTGTATGAAAGAGCCAGTTTTAAAAAGGAATAAAAAAAAGTCAATTGGGGTTAATTTTTTTTTTTTTTTTTTGAAATAGTTACTTTATTGGGTAATATTATAGAATTAAAATAAATTGGATAAAAATGCTAAAAACCTGTCATAAACCTATTTTAAAAAAAGATAGAAAACGGCTCTTTCATAACATTGTGTCAATGAAAGAGCCACCACTGTGCCATGAATAAGCCGTAACTTTTTTTTGAACACTATCAAGTCTTTTTTAAATATTAAACTGTTAAATAGACTTCTAAAAATCAGATTGTACTTAAAGTTTTATAGCTCTATGATAATCAATGATAAAACAAGTAATAAAACAGCTTTAATAATAGTTTTCCAAATTATTCAATATAAATAATAAATACACATAATAATATAATAAATACATAATAGTAAAAGCTGGCCCTGTATATATATATCGCTACTGATTTGGCAACAACACGTAACTGACAATCAATACATTTTTCAGGAGCAACTAAAAACTAATTTATTTCTGTTTAAGACATTATTAGGTAATATTTTTAATTCATATAGTTTTACTTTCAGATGCTATTCTATTATATAACAAATTTTATTAATTTTTGTGGTTATTCATTTTTTTATTGTAGTTACGGGTTATTACATTTCAAAAGTTATATACGTGGTATTGTTACTTGTAGATACGTGTTTTAAAAAATATTTATTTGTTAACTTACGTGGTATTGTAACTCTACAAAATAATTTTTTAGATATTAAATTATTCTAGGTATTGTATTTTTTCTTAATCACAATCTTTTATTAAGTTTATTTGGGTGTAGAATAACATAAAAAAAATAACAAAATAAAAATGACAATTTATAAGATTTCAACAAAATAAAATAATAATAACTTTTTAAAATAACTAATTTTTCAACTTCTTTAAATCATAACAAAATAAAACTATAATTAATAACTTTTTAAAATAATATAAAATGTTTTTTCTTATTACATATTTAAAAAAAAACCAGTCTCATTGTTTTCATTAAAATCACAAATTGTAGTATACATACAAATAGGTAACAATGTTATATTCCTTTGTTTTTTCTTTGTTTTAATGTGTCTGCATGTGGTAGACTGTCATAAAAAGCATGGGTGTCAACAGGCAAGACATGCTTAAGATTCTGTAAATCTGTCTACTTGGATAGAGTCAATGGAATTTGTTTTGCATACAGCTTAGAATAATGTTCTATAAGCTCAAAATGTTTGTTTCTTGGTAATGTTAATGGTAAATAACATGAATCATTAAAATTAAATTTATAATAGATCATTTGAGTTTCAGGGTCATATTTAAGAGCTCTGATGTCTCTAACTTCAGGATCACCCTTTTCTTTTCCTGGTCTGATTGATTTATATGTTTGGTTTATTTTATAGTCATTGAAAAATGTATGATCAAGTAATGTTGCTTGGTATGGACAAGAAGTGGTTCTAGCTTCTTTAGTTATTCTTACATAATCTGAAGGAAGATGAATGTCCTTTTTTTTTAACTTGCGCTCTATAGCACTATGTACACTATTACAGGGCATTTGGGTGTGACCTTTAACTAGGAATTTTGTTCAATAACTACATTATGTTGGACAGAAAAATTTAAAAGTGCGTTTGATAAAATAGAATTGCGATTTTGATAGCCACATCCATCAGAAAACAGAATAATATTTTTTTTTCTTGGTCAATATTAATACAATAGGTTTCAAGATGAGATAACAGAATACTCACAAAAACTGATGCATCTAACTCTCCCTCACATTCATTCCACCAACAGTTGTGACATTGGTGTTCGTTGTTAACATTATATATTGTGAAGTTGTGAACTTTGAGCTTCATTGAGTAATATAATGCACTAGCATTCATGGCTGGACACAATTTAACTGCCTGAACGTCCATAGTGAAAGTGTAGTTTTCTTGGTTATTTACTTTTTCAGTACCACTTTTTAATTGTTCTCTGGCTAGATCTTTATTTAATATGTGTTCCTGATACTCATTTTCTGTTACTTGATTTGTTTTATATGAACAGCACAGGTCACATTGATCTTTCCTGGGTTTAAAGATGGAAAATTTTTTTGATTTCATAAATTTGTTAAAGCATGCTCTACTTACTGGTGTATATTTTACATGTTTTGCTTCTTGGACATACAAGCTGTATAATTGTTGCTTTGATTCAAATGGTCCTTCTAAGTAAAGCCGTTTAGTTCTTTTTCTACAATAGTGGCTTTCCATTTTTGGAAGTTTATCAAACCACTTAATGAAATGATCATACCTTACTGTAAATGCAATTTTGTTAATTTGTTCATTAGTTTCAGGATCTTTATTTTTGACATTTTTTTTATATACTTTAGGTGATAGGTTATAAGATTTTTTTAGCCAGTTGTGAACCATCCATTCGTTTAAATCTAATGTTGCCAAAAACATTTTTTTACATACACGAATTTTCGTTTCATTAATATCTCTTAAATGATACTGGTATGATGAAGATCGTCTACTTTTTACTTCATATTTTCCTGTAGTCTTTCTCTTGGTATCTTCTTGTGTTACTAAATTTATAATGTAAGTCTTTTTTTCGTCCCAAGTTGTTACCCAAAAGCAATTAAACAAATCCAATCTGTCTTCCTCAGTTAGTTTATTGCATTCCTTTGATTTAATACAAACAGTAGAATTACAGCGAGGCTTGATTTTTCTACAATCTCTATTAGTATCTTGAAATACATTTTTTCCCAATCTACGAAACCCAATATAATTTTGGCCAAACATTCTATTCTCCATTGCAGTAGGAAGTTTCTTTAAATTTTTCTTATTACTTGGGTCATTTGTAATATCACTATTTACTTCAATATCATCTACATTCAAATCTGTGTAAGAAACTAACAATCAAAACAAATCATTATCTACACAATATACAAAATTCATGGTTATTTTAATTTTGTTTGTTAGACATTACCTTCAGTTAGCTCAGCTGTTGAAGTTTCTAAAATATTAATTGTGTTACAATCACCATTATTATTGCAAGTTGTACCAGTTTTTACAATTTCAAACATTTCAATAGCATCAATGTCTATATCCAAACAAGAAACTAAAAATAAAAACATAATGCCCTTAATTAATTTCTATATAATGCTAAAATTTATAAATAATATCAGAGTATGTAATACAATAATATTTTTACTTTTAGCATTTTGTAAAATGTCAAACTTTTCAACTCCTTCAATGTCTATATTAAAACAGGAAACTAAAAAAAGAAATTATTATTATTCTGTCTTCAATTAAACTATATAATATGCTAAAATGTATAAACTTTATAAAGGTGGATAATAAAATAATATTTTTACCTTTAGCTGTAGTATTTTTGATGTCATTATCTTTAATAAAAGATGCCATAAACTCATCACTTTTCACAGGGGAATTATCTTCAAACAGTTTATTATATTGTGCATGTTGACAAGGATTTTTAACCAAATTGACCATTGCATGTGCTCGTTTTTTCGACGTCATATTGATCTAGGTGCATTATACATAAAACGACTATAAATAAAATGTCAGTGTCATGCAGTGTACACTATTTTATTATTAAATCTATAATTTCGAAAATAAAACATACAAAATATATAATACCTATTAACTTAAAATGCAGTCCACAGACTAATGTTTAAAAAGGCATTAATGCCTATAATGGCAGTATTGTATTGCTATTTTAGTAACATATCTGTCTTGCAGTTACGTGGTTTTAAAATCAAATATTTGATACGTGGTATCACTCAAACAAGTTTTAGCGGGAAATAAATGATAATATGTTAAACTAACCTCAATTAAATTATATTCTCCTTGAAAATACGAATCCAATGATACCAAAACGTCAATTTTGAAAAAAATGTCAGATACGAGTTATTGCCAAATCAGTAGCGATATATATATATATATAAATATATATATATATATATATATATATATATATATATATATATATATATATAAAACAATATTTAAAACAAAGAACCATAATATATAATATGAGTTATAAGATATATAAGATAAAGAAAAAGCATTATTGCTTTTGTGTAAACATAATTTATGTAGTAATAAACTTCTCCTCAGAATCGTGTGAAAATTAAAAAATTTGTCACCAAATGTTTTTTAGGGCTGAATTACCGGTTATAAAGTTGTCTTTTTCAGGGCTGAGGTGTCGATTATAAAGTTGTCTTGCTCCGGCTACTGCTCCGAAGCCTAATATTACTAAATTGCAGTTCTAACTCTGCTCCAGAGCCATAGTTTATACAATGGACCCAGCTCCAATTCCAGATCCATCTCTAATACTAATAATTTTTGGACACGACCGCCGTCATCAACAAGAGGATCTGGAACAAAAAAAAATGCAGTTAAGCAAACATCAACCCAAACACAGTTCTGCCGCAAGGAGATTTGAACTTTTAAATTTTGAACATAAATTATAGTAGAGTACAACTTCTGTATCGTATATACTATTGACTAAATTATATACATATATACATACATTCATACATACACACATACAAGCATACATACATACATACATACATACATACATACATACATACATACATACATACATACATATATACATACATACATACATACATACATACTGTTCGTGTGAAAGTGCGTAGGACGTATTAAACCCAATAATAAAACATGACTTATTTTAGCATTATATATTTCGGTTTTAACGTTAATCTCTAACTAAAATAAACGTTATTCCTCCAGTTATAACTCCTTTATAAGTTTGTACACGATTATTTATACCATATAACATTTCCCAAAGAGAGATATTATAGGTATTTTCTAACTTATAATGATCTATATACAAAATTCGCTAATTGCCTCATTAGCAAAGGAAATCTCTAATGTCAATATATGACGCTTAGAGATGCTTATAATACAACTATATTATTTACATTAAACTATTATTTACACTAATCGCCTCGTGAACATACTCCTCCCTTTTGACCAAATGGTCAACATCTTCTGGTTCATTCGGCTCGAGAGGGCACAACTTGGTTATCGGACGTTTCAAGATAACCTTCCCAACTTGAACACTAGCGACACGTACTAACCCGTTGTTTCCAGGAAAAACCCCAGTTACCCAACCAAGTGGCCAAATGCCTCTTGAAGTATTCGAAGAGCACCAATACCAGGTCACCTATCGATAAGTTTCCCATTACGATATTCCATTTTTTTCGTGGTCCAAGCATGGGTAACCATTCTTTCATCCAGCGATGCCAAAAATGTTTTATTAATTCTTGGACTCGTCGCCACCTTCTTTTCGGTTAGCGTTCTTTAGGATGATCCAAAATAAGGTTTTGAATTTTCAAAAAAACGCAGACCTAGAACGGATTTAGTGGCTATTACGCATGCGTTCAAATTATAAACCTTATTCTGGATCATCCACGCTGAATTTGTTAATAAAGAAGCTTCGCTTATGGAATTATTATTATACAAACTTTGACGAATTGAAGTAGAATAATAAAGTTATACAATTATTAAAAGAAATATGTTGTGCAATTGAATTCTCTAAATCGAGTTGTTGTAAAAATGTTTGGTTGTTTATTTGGTATTTACTTATGGTATTTATGTTAATATGGTACTCTGGTAATTATTATTACTATTGTTATTATGGTACTATAGCAATTAGTTTGGTGAATGTTTTTAATAGGGATCGAATTATCAAATCACCAAGTCATTATATTAGTAGAGATATATAAAGATTAAAACATATATATGTATAAATATATATATATATATATATATATATATATATATATATATATATATAAATATATATATATATATATATATATATATATATATATATATATATATATATATATATATAAATTATATAATATTATATATGATATTATATATATATATATATATATATATATATATATATATACATATATATATATATATATATATATATATATATATATAATTTATATAATATTATATATAATATTATATATGATATTACATATATATATATATATATATATATATATATATATATATATATATATATATATATATATATATATATATATATATATTCATATATATTTTGCTATTGTTTTGCAGTGGAAGCTATTAAAGTTAGTCTTAATAGAAGGAAGAAATATTTTATATAAGTGCAAGGGAGTGCTAGATAAGTTATAATATTTAGACAGATGTCCAGTATTGAGAAGTAGTGTATGAAAGGGGAGTTTTATTTAATGATTAAGTGTTGTTTCAATGTTATGTAAGTTGTGTTAGTTAATATGTTTTGTGTTTGTAGTGTTCTAAATGTTATAGTTTTATATGTTATTTAATGTCTTTATTAGTATGAATCTGCATGTTTGTAAATACTTTTTGTTTTGAATGCAATGCATCTTATTAGAACTGCACTGAGCAGTGAGCGCTTTAGAGATGCATAACAAGTTAAAAGTGTGTAGCAGATTGAGATAAAAGTACACAAGGACTGATGTCCGTTGAAATAAAGTGCCTCTAAGAAGAGAAATAATGAAAATTAATCATAGTTATATGTAGTTAATATAAACAGAAATAATAAACCATAGCCTAGGAAAGTACATGTAATTAATTATTTTGATAATGAAAGGTTATAGTAGAGTTACTGTAGAGCATAAATGTGATGCATAAAGTGTCTGCCACGGAGCATGGATACCATTTGTTTTATGTTATTAGCAAAGTAAACAAACATTATAAATGCGCATCATTGATGCCTCATGGTATGAATTCTGTGATCTGATGTGGTTTATGGTCTGGTTCAAAATGGTAATATTGATATGTTTAGAAAAAGTTGTTTGTGTTATGTATAATTTCCATTTAGTTAATATGTTTTAATTTAGTTTTTTGTTTTATATTTATTGTGAAGCCGTGAACTTTAGTCATATGCGGACAAATAGGAACAATGTTTTTATATATATATACATACGTGGCGATATTAAAATGTATAATAAAGATGGCTTACTTATAAGAATATATATATTTAAGTATAGCACAGTGTTTTATTAACGACACAACAATGGCGCTACGAGTAGGATCCGATTTGACTTTAGATGATCCAGACAATGCAGAAGCATGGATTAGATGCTTTTCAGCATCCGCACGTTCAAAGAAATTAAAAGATGAGATAAATGGTAGCTATGAGATAACAGATTTATGGCAAAAGCAGGCATTGAAGCAATTACAAAGATTTCCCTTATGGTTTATCCAGAAGAATTAGAAAATATGATGTTCAATGATATTAAAACTGTTGTTATGTCCTGTTTGAGGCCTCTAAAACGACTAATTATTGCTGAAAGAGTTCAATTTTTAGCATTAAAACAGCAAAACAATATAAACATCGTATCATATGCACAAAGATTACGCGGAGCTTCACGCTTTTGCAACTTCGAAAAATTGGCCAAAGCGACGGAAGATGATTTGATTCAAATGAGATTGGTTGATGGCCTCCAATCTTTTGATCAGAGAGTTAAAGCTCTAGAAATGATACAGAGTGGAGAATCGCCTAAACTAGGAGCATGTATTGATTTTATCAGGCAACTGGAGCAAATATTCTGTTTTAGTATACAAAACAACATTGAAAACAGCATAGACCTTCCTTCAGTTAATTACATTGATAAAAATAAAGAAAGAACAATTAAATGCAAGTTTTGTGGCCTTCAACACCCACCTAGGAAATGCCCAGCATTTGGGAAGAGTTGTAAAAAATGTGGAAAGCTGAACCACTTTAAAAACGTATGCAAAGCAAACATTAAATATGAAAAAATAGTAGAGGAAATAGAGAATGATGATGCTAGTGTGTATTCCATTAACATGAATGATAAAAACTCAGAGATTAGTGTAAAAATTAATGACTACAATATAAAAATGCAAGTTGACACCAGAAGTCAAGTCACAATTATTCCAAAGAATTTTTGGGAACTAATGTCTAAACTGAAATTACAAAAATGCTACCTTCGCCTGAAACAGTTTGATGGTACAGTTATAAAAGTCCTAGGTGAATTTGATGCAACTTTGGAAACCGAATCAAAAATGAATATCGTACGAATTATTGTTGTAGACTGTACAAAAAATCATGGTCTAATTGGTATGGATGTATTAAATATCAACGCCACAAAATTAGTTAATATTATGGAACCTATCGTTCAGGGCCGTTTAATTAATTACAAAGCAAATATTCTATTAAAAAAACAACACGCAACCCACTTATTTTGAATCTCGACCTCTTCCTATTCACATAAGACCACTAGTGGTAGATAAACTTATTGGAATCATACAGCAAGGGTTGCTTCAAAGGGTTCCTCCTGGTGGAAGCAGATGGGTTTCACCACTTGTGGTTGTTAGAAAAACAGACGAAGGTTTGCGCATTTGTGCGAATTACAAAATAGGTGTTAACCAAAAAATATGCTCAGACTCATATCCTATCCCAAACATTGAGAACGTATTTTATAAATTGGCAGGGATGAAATATTTTGCTAAAATTGATCTCAAGGGAGCTTATCATCAAATTGAGATGGACAAAGAGGCACAAGAAATAACGACAGTTAATACCCCTATTGGATTATTAAGATGGACTTGTTTACCTTATGGAATAAAGACTGCAAGTGTGATATTTCAAAGAGCGATTGAATCTGTTGTTGGCGATATTATTCCCAATACGATTATATTTCAAGATGATATATCTGTCAGTGCTAAAAATGCTGAAGAACTCAAATCGAATTTGAATAAAATATTGAGCAAATTGAAGGAATCGGAAATGAGCATAAATAAACGAAAGTCATTGAATGAAACATAAAGCCTTTCATTTTTAGGATATGAACTGTCAGAAAAGGGAGTTACCCCAGATCGTAATTTAGTCAGCAAAATACTCGGAATAAATCCTCCTAATGATAAAAAGGAACTCAAGTCATTTATAGGATTAATAAACTTTTATGGTCGACACATTGATAAATATGCTGAAAAAATTTTACCTTTAAACAATTTAAGAAAGAAAGGAGTTATTCGAATGGAGGAAAGAGCATCAACAGGCATTTGAATTTGCTAAAAAGAAACCTTTGTGAAGAACCCGTAGTAAAAGTTTATGACATCAACCAAGATCTAGAGTTAACAACAGATGCTAGTGAGAAAGCTATATATGGAATACTTTCACAGAATGGCCATCCGGTATTGTATCTCTCACGAACTTTATCAGACGCTGAGACAAGATATTCTAATATTGAGAGAGAAGCGTATAGCTATTGTATGGTCTGCTCACAGAGCTAAGCATTTTTTGTTGGGTAGAAAATTCAAATTAATATCAGATTACAGGCCATTAGAATTTATATTTGATAGCAACAAAGAATTGCCCTAAGTCACATCCGCTAGAATTTTAAGATGGGTCATACAAATGATGGCATTTGACTACGAAATAAGCTACAAAAAGTAAGAAAACATTCCTCATGCTGACGCATTATTGAGATTGTCCTTTCTACCACAAGATGAAGAGAAGGACCAAGAAACATTCATACACTTAGTCTAGTCAGATATCGTGAACCTTGAGCAAATAATAAAAGAAACAAAAAATGATAGGGTATTGATGGATATCAAAACCAGAATTAGCAAATATAATTGGAGCAGATGCTCGGTAACAGAAAGACCCTATAAATCTATTAGGAATAAACTGACTATCGAGAAAGGAATTGTATGTAATGGTGATCTTATTGTACCTCCTAAGACAATGAGAAAGATCTTCATCAAATCGACCCATGATGATATACATTGTGGCATAATGCAAACGCGATGTAGATTAAAATTGGAAGTCTGTTGGCCTGGCTACTGTCAAGATGTTGAAGAATATGTGAAAAACTGTGAAAAATGTGCCGAAATAAAAGTGAAGATGGAAAAGACATTACATACATGGCTAAGTGAAAATAAACCTCGGTGTAGAGTACATATGGATCATGCACATGTACAGGGTATCGTACTGTTTTTGATTTTAGTAGATTCTTTTTCTGGATGGCCGGAAGTTATTAAGGTAAATAACTGTGAAGCGGCTACTGTAAAGGCAGTACTACAAAGTGTTTTTTCAAGAAATGGAGTTCCAGAGGTTTTAGTATCCGACAATGCTGCGGAATTTCATGATACCACCTTACACCAGTGGCTAAAGAAAATCGGTTGCGTGCCTTATAAGACTCCACCTTACCACCCTCAACCTAATGGAGCAGCTGAAAGAATGGTAGAGACAGTCAAGATGGGTTTAAGAGCTTATTCACCAGACAAAGGTTTATTATGCGGATATTTAAGCTTTTAAGTTACAGAACAATACCTC